TTTCAACCAGATACGGGGACTATTTCACCCCTACTACTACTACATAATACCCTAGCATACATACATTTATCATAGACTGCCTAGCATATCCGGGTGTTGGCCTCCTCTTCGGTATCTTTCAACCGGTAACTGGGGACTATTTCACCCCTACCACTACTATACTATGACATAACATACTAGCACATAAAGCATAGTGGCACACCAGATAATTACCACGAAGACAATCATCTAACAAACATCTCCTACTAGTGAGCCGGCATTGTGGCCTTAGACCCACTTCTACTGGAAGGTAACTCGCCTCGATGTCGTGCAGTAACTGAACTGTCCTCGGTGTTGGGATCAAACTCTCCTCAAACTCCTACACATAACAACCTTCCTTAATTACCATTTCCTACTCGTAACCCTTTCAAGGGTCAACTCATGTCAAAGTCAAAGTCAAGGTCAACCCCCTGGTCAAAGTCAACTTTTGGTCAAAGTCAACATCTGGTTGACTCAACTCGCCGAGTTGGTCCACCAACTCGTCGAGTTCCATGATCCAGAAAATACTTGAAGTTTGATCCTACTCGTTGAATCTTTCAAGAACTCGTCGAGTTCTCCTTCATACAGAATCGGGACCTTTTGCTCATGACTCGCCGAGTTCATCCTTGAACTCGTCGAGTCCTGGTTCATATCAGTTGGAACGTTTAGCCCTTGACTCGCCGAGTTCTTCCTTGAACTCATCGAGTTCTTCTTCATAACAGTTGGGACATTTGTCTTGAACTCGTCGAGTTCATCTTGGAACTCGTCGAATTCTTTGATCTTCAAGTCCATATTCACGTCCATCTTGTTGAGTCCTCTTCTAGACTCAACCAGATTGCTCAGAAACAGAAAAGGTTGGGGAACCATGACCCGACTCGCCGAGTCCTATGAACGACTCGTCGAGTCCCCCAAAGTCCAAGTCCATACAGTCGATTTCAGTCGGGCTTATTGCATCCAAAGCATAGATCTGACCTCCTAGGGTCGATATAACACGTAAAGTTACAAACTTTACGTGCATGCATGGGTGTTATTAAGTTAGAACACCAAAACTAAGCCATAAAGGAGTCCTAATGCATGGGATAGGGCCATAGCTCAATAAAGGTGGCAACTTTGAGCTTCCTGAGCTCAAATGTTCCCAGATCTGAAGTCATCACTCTAATATACACTCAAATCCTGAGAGTGACTTAGAAATGTCCAAAAATGACAAGATGCAAGCCCTAAAGAAGATCTAAGTGATGGAAAGCCAAGGTTAAAGCTTTTTACCTCAAACAAACTGGAAATGCAACCAAAACTCTAGATCTACTGCCTTCTTCTTGGACCTCCAAGCCTTTCCTTCCTTCTCCAAGCTTCAAATCACTAAAATGGCAAAAAATAGCTCAAGAAAACTCACAAACTAATTAGGGTTTCGAGAATAGGGTCTGAGGGTGATGGAGGCTGGAGTGGAGGCCATATAAGGTGTTTAAATAGGGTGCAAACCCTAAAATTTAGGGTTTCATTTAGACAGATCTACTCGTCGATTCGGGGCTTCCGACTCGTCGAGTAGACTCTTCCACCCGCGTCAAAGATTAGCCCCTACTCGACGAGTTTGGGTCCACCAACTCGTCGAGTCCCAGTATAAAAATGTAAAATTCATATTTAAAATACGCACCGGGAACCGGACGTTACATAAACGAAAGTAAACTAATTTAGCTACTCGTAACTGAAATTAAACATGCAATTCAATAGAAATCGATATAATTCAAGTATGCAAACTGAATGTAATGATTTGATCTTTAGTTCCTTAATCTTCCAACTATCCTTCCTCCAAAAGAATGATTTTTGCACTCTTCTGACCTCAAATCTCGAGTATCTCAGAATATCATCTCTCCCAAAAGCTTCTCAAATCGTAAATGCCAAGGAGTATTTATAGTTTTTGAAAATATGTGGCTCACGTCGTGAGATAGGGGTATCATGTCGTGAGCATGGTATTTATCCGTATTGTGCAAGGATTCTGACTTCCGTGTTGTAATTTTCTAGAATTTCCCTACTCACGTCGTGAGCTTGATGTCTCATGTCGTGAGCTTGGTTTTTAGCTGAAATCTTCTTCTTTTAAGCTCCAATCTCCATAGTTCCAATGCTTGTCACTTCTGGTCCTTATTCTTCAAGAGTGTCCTTATTGGCTGCAAAATACAATTTAATTCAATAAGTATCACATATCTTTGCAAATAACCATAATATTACTTAAAATGTATTAAAATATTGCCTAAAAATGTGTATAAATATGGCAATATCAAAATACCCCACACTTATCTTTTGCTTGCCCCCAAGCAAAATTAATTTTTTTTAAGTTAAACTTTCATCACCAATATCACATAAGACAATCCATTTTGAACTCAGTCATTATACCAATACCTCAATACGCATATTTGTGTCTATAATTCCTAAAAACTTCCCAATACTAACTACTCACAATCCTTATGAACATTCACCCCTTAGTTTATACAACACTCATTTTTGTAACCCTCCGAATCCATCCTCAGAAATCTTTCTTAACCTCAAGGTATTTTTGGTTAAGCTACCCAAGCATACATAATATCTAGAAAGAATTACAATTTTGATACCACAATGGAGCTCTTTGAATTCATCTCTTCTTTGATATTTGCTCTTTGATTTATTTGAATTCACCACCTTTTTGTTTGATTTTTGGTATCTTCAATTTTTTGATTCTTCAGAATTTTTTGATCTTTTGATTTTCATGCTTTGATAGCTCCAAAATTCTTACAACTTTTTTGTAACTTTCTCTTTTTTTTTTATATATTTCACTTTTTTCGCTCAAATCCTACATTCTTAAGCAAGGGAGTTTAACTTCAACATTTATTGGTTATGAGTATTAGTCTAAGTGCAATGACTGCATAAGCTCTCCTGGATAGATTTCAGGTACACGTTGCAAAACTTTTTATGTCATACAAACTACCAGATTACCTTTCATTGCTCATGACTTTTCACTTGGACTGAGAAGCCACAAATATACTATAACATATGTTGGCTCAATTAAACATTTGAGTTCGCATTGGATCATCCCACACAACACTAGCAACTTAAGTTTTTAATTATCACAAGATTAAATTTTTAGATTATTATTTCAAATCTATTTTTAATTTTTTTTTTTAATTTTCTAGTAATTTTCCTTTTTCAACCCCCTATCCCACATTTATTTCATACAATGCCCTCATTGTATGCATAAAATAATTTAAAAGCAATAAAATGGAGAAAAGGGAACAAACTCCCCTGGGGTAGTAGTGACGAGATCGAATTCTGAAAGCGTGTGGAAAACTTGAACATCTTGAGTATGTGACTGGAACTTGGACTTCATTGATACGCATGAATGTGCCGGAAAGATGTGAATCGGAAACTTGCATCTTTAAAAAGTGTGGTGTATAAAATCTTCAAAACAAAACATCTGAATATAGGAAAGCATACGCCACTTTGTAAGGTTGGAAGAGTATAGTAAAATGTCATGATTAACCACTCACGGCGTGAGTATGGTACATTCTGATATTGAAAATGTGATGGCATCGGCTCACGACGTGAGATGTAAAGGCTCACGTCGTGAGAAGTGGGTCTTCACATATTTGCAAAAAGTCTTCTTTTCAAATAAAATGCATTTGATCTCTTAATGGATTAAGACTCTTCTAAGACCCTTATTTTTCTGGAACCCTCTCTTTTCTCTAATCTCTCTTCGCACACATCTTGTTGAATTACTAGGGGAGATAAAAAAAAACAATTATGTCAAATAATCCTCAATGCACCAAGGCATTGTTGCCAATAAAGTAAAGAGAATCGAGAAGAAGCATCAATAATGAAACGATGACGCACACAATGATGTCAAACTTTCGATTATCGGGGGAAGAGATAAGAGCATCAAGTATCAGCATGTTGTTCAAGCACGATACAATTAAACTATCAAAAATGTAATAATTGTGATGTATTGTATAGTTTGTGTGCCATATGATTATGTAATATGTATAGTGCCCTATGTCTATAAATAAGGGCTATAACACTAGTAAAGTTAATGTCCTATATATAATAATGTAGTGTTAGATATGTGTCAAATGTCTAGTAGTGTAGAATAGTATGTGTCATAACTAATTCACTAACAATAGTTTATCATATTGTCGTTTATAAATAATGCATATATAAGGATTGTTGATCCTTAAAAAAGAACAAAAACGTCCATCTCATCCGTGTCTCACTTTTGGGTGGGCAGAGATCATGAGGGTTGCGGAACCACCTTCGATGAGCACATCACGTGTTGATATTGGGGAAATCGATTTTGGGCTGCATCCTTTATTGCAGTGTGGTGTGTGTAAAATGTAAATAAACTCCATTCAAGGACTGTGTGTGGTGGTGGGCTGGCAAAGACGACGACGATTATTGGTGGTGGTTAATGGTTGGGTGAAATAAGGTCATTTCTATTTTAATAATATAGAATTAATTTAAGAAAAATAAATAAATTAATTAAAAAGAATATAAATACCATAAAAGCGAAAAGGACCAAACACCAATAAATGAAAACACAAGAACCAAGCACATAAATATACGGACCAAGTACATAATTTTGCCTAAAATTCACAATACTTTGTCTTTATTTTTCTTTTTATAATTTTGGTGTTTAACTCAAAATATAAAATTCAAAAAGGGTACAATACATGGAACAATCCATGTATTACCTAGTTATTAGTTACCGATTCATGAAATGACGAGACTTGCCTAGTAATATTAAAAAGTGGCAAAACCGCATACATTGGTTGGTGTATACAAATTGGAGTTAAAGTTGTTTATACAAAGAAAAAAAGCCCTAGTTTTTATTCCCAACTTGAAAAGAAACCAGGCTTCTCAAAATCACAATTCTCTCTTTTACCCACAAACCTCTTACATGGATGGATGGGGTTATAAATAAATAAAAATAAAAATAAAAACAAAAAAAAAAAAAAAAAAAAAGTCTAGTAACGGAGCATGTAAGTACGACGGCGGAACCAATTGTAGTCCGGCAATAGTTTAACAGGTCCCGATGCTGCTATGGCCATGTCCTGCAACACACAAAATTATATACAACTTCAGACTATGTTTGACAGACTAGCTGATAAACTACCTTTCACATGATAAGCTACTTTATAAAGTAATAGCATTTAGTAAAAACTGTAAAATAAGCTAGATAGATGACAAATGTAAAACATATATATATATATATATATATATATATATATATATATATATATATATATATCAAAATGGAAGTTTAGAGCAGATTACCTGGTCAAATATGAATCTGTTGGCTACACGTTTAATCGTGGCAGCATCAACAGCATCAATTCTTGCAAATAATTCAGCAAATGGAATTCTTCGCCCATATGTAATTAGCTGTTGCAACAAAAACAAAAGTTATTAATAATAATTTGTAAAACACTTACAATAGTAATACTATTACTATGCTTGTGCTATATATACCTGGCGTCCAATGTCTTCAGCAGTAGGACTTGTTCCATCAACATGAAGAAGCAATGAAGATTTCAGCTGCAAAATTTATAAATTAAGTCCCTGAATTAATAAAATAAAACTATACAATATAAATTTTTTTTAAAAATAATTACCTGATTTCTAGCACGGGTGACATCATCATCCCCAACTCGGTAACACAATTTAGTCATCTCTTGCATGATTGCAAAAGACAAATCGTCTAAGACATCCGCCTACACAAAAAGGTAACAAAATAATAAATTATTTAAATGTTTATTGCCACAACATGTTAAAAACATATATAAAATTTAAAAAATATTCATTCACATTTCAGTTTCACACACCTTGGCAACAGCATATACACCAAATAGTCCAGTGTCTTTGTAATTGGTGTTGAAAGCCATCATGCTTTCAGCAAGTTCACTAATCGCCACCATCTGTGAAAGCTGTGAGCTGTATATAAAAAATTTGTCGTTAATTAATAGCAACCAACTTTCAAAATCTCATAAATAACAGATATTTAAAATAATAAATAAATAAATAAAGTCAAATGATTGCTAACCCCATATGCTTGCCACCTCCTGCAGATTTGTTCCATGATCCAAGCATGGCTTGCATGACCATTAAAGCAACTGAATCAGGATCAGTCCATGATGCTCCATTGAATGCAATGGCAAATTGTGCAAGAGGCATGTCATCATCCCTCATTCGAATCTGATTATTAATTTCATCAATTTGGAATTTTTTATTTCATGGTTAATAAATAATAATAATGCATACCTCTGATCCGGTGAAGATTGCAGGCTCCTTTTCTACTAACTGTGTTGTAGTCATGGGATTGGCTGAGAGCTTTGTGAACATTTTTTTTACCTGATCCACAACATCTTCATGTTTAACAGCTCCTGAGGCAGAAATTACCTGAAAAAATTCATGATTCGTCATACAAGAATTATATTTCAACTCTAAAAAACTTGAAGCTGAAAGTATAACAAGGTTGATAAGTTAAGTCTGTGTACCATTCTGTGAGCAGCATAGTGGGTTGAGATATAATCTTCAATATCTTTCTTTGTTATCTTTTCAATGTTTTCAGAAGGTCCAAGAATAGTTCTACCAAGAGGGGTGTACTGGAAAGCAGTAGCATGCAAGTGGTCAAAAATTACTTCCTCAGTCTGTAAACCTACCTGCAATAAAGATTTAAAAAAATATTAATAATGGCCACTTATGCATCAGACAGCATATCAGAAGAACTGCAGAATCCACTAGGAGACTATAAAGAAAGCTTAGAAGAAACTAAATAGGGATCAGTGTTCAACATCATACCTTACAGCTAGTGCGTAAATCCTACATTACCTTATATTTAGGTAAATGGCACTAAATTTATTCGTAACAAGATGATTCAGCCAAAATTCTACTGATCGAGAATGCAGGAAAATGTTAAAAGAGGGATTGTCGACATCAAAAGTAAGAAATGTTAAGAGAACGATTCCGGAGAAAGGTATTCATCCCATATAAATAGATATAAGAGAAATAGTGTTGACATTGACATACAAACCTCTTCCATCTCACGAAGAATCACACCTCGCTCACGATTAATCAGTCTTTCATCAAAAGTGGAATTCTGCAATATATCCGATAGAATATCAAGAGCCTTAGGCACGTCTCCGCCCATCACTTTGGCGTAATAAGTCGTCTGCTCCCTCGAAGTATACGCATTCAAGTGCCCTCCCATATTCTCAATCTCCTCCTCCAAATCCCTAACCGACCTCTTAGCCGTCCCTTTGAAAATCATATGTTCTAGAAAATGAGCCACGCCATTAGTCTCCTCGGTCTCAAATCGCGATCCTGCATCAATCCAGACCCCAACGGTAGCCGTCTTGGAGGCCAGGTTAGACTCCGTCGCAACACGTAGACCATTAGGCAGGGTGGTGACACGCGTCTCTGGGTAGGTTAGAATAGACGTATGATCGGCTAAAACAGGGAAAGGTGAGTTGTGTTTAAGGAACCTAGGATCAGGATTTTCGAGTCGTTTGAGTTTCGATTTTACTTGTTCTGCAACGCGATCATAGATCATTTGATTAGGATGCGGTGGAGCTGGTGCGCGAGTGTCGGATGCGATTGAGACTGCAGTGGCAAATGGAGCAGATCTGGTGGTGGTAGTGGCTGCAAGGGTTGGGTGAGAGCGGCGAGAAAGCTTCAGAAGCTGGCGCGTCGCCATGGCTAGGGTTTGATAGTTCCAATCCGATGTGAGATTGGGGGATTAGGGCATGGGGAAGAAGATGAAGAGGATGAATAAAAGGGGTAATTTTTCGCTGAAAATTCTCTTTTCTTGTGACGGGCGTGTGCCCCGCGATGTATGGTTTCTGCCCAGTCTTTGGTTGACAAAAACTAATATACGAAAGCCATCGACCGGAGCCAAATAATAATAATCATAACCAAAAAAATACAACCACATTCCTTAAAGCGAAACTAAAATTAATAGAAAGACCGATTTCAAACCCGTCACGAAAAAAAAAATACACTTAACGGGTCTGACTGTTATCAGACCAAAAATAGATCGGATCAAGCCAAGACCGTCCAGTCCGAAAAAAGACCGAAACATTTTGAAACCAACCCGAGACCGGTCTAAGATCGTTAATGTGCATCTCGAGACCATGGTGTAAAGGCTTATGTGTTCGGCTAGTGGTGTAACCCACCAACAACACTCCAGATTAAGAGTCGAGCCACGAGTTGCGACATATAACACTTGAAGTCCTAAAAATTATACAACATGGTCGATGCAATCTCAACTCTCCGAGATTCTCGTAGTTATTGAAACATCTATCGCATTAGTTATTTTAAGTAATGTTTTTAAAAGACAAATTTTGTAGCGTCCAAGTCGCCAAGTATGAAATTAATTTATTATTCTGCTTAATTCAATTAAAAGGTCGTGAAGAGCTTGTGAGTACGATGGCGTACATTAGATACGCACGACGTACTCCTTGCATGCGCATCATCGGGGTGATCCCGACGTACGCTGGGCGTACCCATGCGTACGCTGGGCGTACTCAAGCCACGGTCAAACCCCAATTTTTAGGGTTTGCACCTTATTTAAGATCCTTAAGTTCATCAAGTGTATCACCCTTTCAGCCTCCGTTGCCTTTTAGTGTTAATCTCGAACCCCTAGCCATCTTGAGTGCATTTTTTGAGCTTACATAGAGTGTTTGGGTGTTCTTTTGTGGTTTTGAAGAATAAGCAAGTTTGAGAAGAAGCAAAGGAGAAGAAGGAGTTTGTAGATCCAGAGTTTGTGCATCATTTCTAGCATGTTGAAGGTATAAAGTCTGAAACTTGTTTATTCTAAGCTTAGATCTAGGTTTAGGGAAGATTTTAGCATCTTTTGGTCTCATAACTTGGTCTTTTGGAGTATGGGCTACTCCAGGCCATTTGAGTTGTCATTTTGGAGTCTTGGGAGTGCATGAAGTCATAGAAATTGTATCTTGAAGGTTAAGACCCAACAATGCATGAGTTGGTGACCACCTAAGTGAGTTAGAGGACTTAATTCATAATTTGAGCCCCAATAAGGCATGCAAGAGCATAAAGTTTGCAACTTTATGGCTTAAGACACTATTATGAGCTTAGATTTAAGTTTCGGGTACTTCTACTTCGAAGGGGAAGGGCCCGGCCTGATCGCACCGCATCACTCTATGGTTTCCGCATTTTGAGATTTTGGGAATTTGTACTCTGGTAACACGTTGGTATGATACACTTTTGACTATTTTGATAGTAGTATCATATGATTTGAATAAATTTAAAAACAAAATTTTATCCGTATTTTTGGGATGTTACAAATTTTAAAAACAAATAGTTAAATTTGTGGAATTATGTCACAAAAGCTTAAGTTTAACATATTTTGCTAACGAGGATGAATCATGCAATAAATTATTTATTTATAATAAAGTAATAAAAAAGAAATTAGCATAATCATCTTAGATAGCCCAAACATTTACAGAAATTGGAATCGGGACAAAGAAAGGGAGGGTTAACCTTATCGAAAGCCAAAGAGCCCAAACAAACCAATTTAATAGGTATACGTTAAGAATTTAAGAAACCTGAATTTGAGTACAATTCAGATCAAAGCAATCAGATTGTCGATTTTACAAACATAAATGAACATTAAAGTCGATTATACAACGAAATTGAAGATGTAATGAAGTACAAATCGAAGTCAGATGGTAAAAATCTACGAATGTAAAACATAAAATTAACTAACTGTTAAGATTTTACCTTAGTTGAAGACTATTCAGACGAAATTGTATATCAATAATTGTTCACAAAAGGAATCAATTGAAGAAACTCATTGAAACATTGAAAAATTAAGCAGAAGTCGATAAATTTACCTTAGGTGAACTATTTTTAGCCGAACTTGAATCCATAATTGTTGACATCAAAGGAAGCAATTCAATATATTGAGTGAAACATAGAAACATTAAACATAGTCGGATCATTATATAGGCCTGATTTCTAGGTCGTGGTTAGGGCAGTTACCGACTAAGAAGGCTTCGTATCGTGATGATTGAAGGAGAACTACCATGTTTTGGAAGGAACCTGAAAACCGATTGAACGTAGGAGGAGAAACAATCGACTGTGAGGAACGTGGGGAGGAGCTGAAAACCGCTGTCGTAATTCTTGAGTTATTACGGCTGAGATATGGGAGAGTTTTAAGGGCTAAGATTTATTTGACGGTTTTCCACTCACCCTCAACTCAACTAGTATAAAGAACTTCTCTAACCCACAAAGTAAAACCTCAGTACTTAAAATCAAGGACACGAACAAAAAGACAGGTTTTGGACCGGTCTCGAAATAATACCAATGTCGGATCAGTATAAAATGTTATCAGGCCTAAAAAATAGATTGGATTGGTTCAAGACAGTTCAAGACCGATCCGGAAAAAAAATAGACTGGTCCAATACCGACCCGAGACCGGTCTAAAAGGACTAAAATGAAAGTTTATACACATAATTTTTGTGTTAATTACACATTTTTTTAATCACATATACCCTAACTCTTTCCTTCGTTTTTTATTAAATTTTATTATATCATTTTTATGAAATCTTAATGTATCATTTTGGTGACACATTTATTAATGGAAAAATTCGAAACCGACAAATGTGTACGCAAAGACCGCGAGACCAAATCGAATCGTTTCAAGACTGACCCGAGACTAGTCTGATATCGCTAATGTGCATCTCTAATCGAGACCATGGTGTAAAGGCCTATGTCTTGGGCTAGTGGTGTAACCGACCAACAACACTCCAGTCTAGGATCGAGCCTTGGATTGCGACACATAGCACCTGAAGTCCTAAAAGTTATACAACATGGTCGAGGCAATCTCAATTCTCCGATATTCTCGTAGTTACTAAAGCATCTATGGCATTAGTTATTTAAAATAATGTTTTCAAAAAACAATTTTTAAAATCAAATACTTATATTTGTGGAATTAGGTCCCCAAAAGCTTAAGTTTAACATAGTTTGCTAACAACGAGGATGAATCAACCGATGCAAAGCAATAGTCAAGTACAAGCCTTCACATTTTCAAATGATATTCTAAAATTCCATTCTTACCCTACCTTCCTTCTTCTTAATCCTCTGATTTGTCAAAATACATATGCTAAGCTTGGAAAACCAAATGAACCAAATGAGTATTCTTGGAGTCAACTCTTATAGATATTGGATAAGATCAAGGGTCCAAACTCAAAGTCAAACCCCAAAAATCAATTTTCAAAGTCTCACAATATTAGTAGATTTAAAAGTTAGGGAAAGAAACATCTCAAAGATGAATAATTCAAAACATCATCAAATCATATGAAGAAATCATCAAAACGGAAGTATCCAATGCATATGCTTCTTCTCCAAAAACCGTAAGTCGATCTTTAGTTCAAATCTTATATTTTATGGTTATGCATCATGTGTGAAGTTGCAATAACACACTAAACACACTTATAATCCACTCACTAGGCCTTATTTCAGATCTCAATTTTAGGGGTTGGACTAATTTTCCCCACAAAAACCCTGTGGGGACCGGGCCAAAAGTGTTGATTTTTTCGGTATTGAGTTTGAAAAATCTTGAGGTTACACATGATCACATGGCTTTGTCAATTATTATGCATTATTTATACTATGTGTTCTTTGGTCTCTTGCAACTATTTTGAGTCCTAGATGTCACTTGTAGCCTCAAATTCCTTTTAATTTGGATATTACAATTCATTGTTATTTATGTGGATGGCAGTTGAAAGATATACTAAAACAACATTTGTGTAGATGAAGAAGAAAAAGTATGTTGTTTGCTTGTCTAGATTTCCTAATCCTTCTATGCTTAATCATAACATATAAAGCCTCCCAAAAGATCTTTGGCTTATAGCAAAAAATTAGATATTATGATATAAGGAGCAATAATACAACAATATGTATGTTTCAAAGGATTTGTCACGTCATGCATAACACAAATGGGGCCTAAGAAAGAAACAAATGTATAACATATAAGAAACATATGATATGAGCATATATCCCAAAAGCTTCAGTTGGCTACTATTTTATCAAATAAACTTGGAATTTAACAATATCAATCAAATAAACCCGAAACTAAAATTAGAATTTGGAGAAAAAAAAAAGATAGGATTGTTTGCATAATAAGATTCATCTCCTCATCGGCCAAGATACGCAACACGATCCTTTTGTATTGCTTGTGCAAGATTGATATCAAAGAGCTCACACCGAATTGGCATCTCCATTTCATAAAATGGATTCTTCAACACATAATCCGTGTACAATTCATAAATATGTTTCAACAAATTATCCATGTGATGCGTTCCAGGCTCAGATACAACAAAAAACTTTGTCCCTGCCAAAGTACACACCACCATTAATACGTGTTTATGTTTATTATAGCATCCTACTTTCATTTCTTCCTGTTAAAGGATTGTACTTTGAAAAATCTACCAAAATACACAACATTTTTCACTGCTATAATTGGGTGGATAATTTTTCAAGATACAAAGAGGGAGATAATTAGTTATTTTCCTAGTTTTTACATTATTAGACCAAAGAGCATAATGATCATGATATATTTAAACTTTGTAGTTCTCAATTGCCCAAAATATTTGCATAATATGAACTAACAAGGCCATAATTACCATAAGTATAATTTCATACCTACAGGGCCTAAATGATAACAATAATCAACAAACAGAAAGTCCTGCAGAATAATATCAGATTTCTGAAATACTGTACAAAGTACAATTTTTATGTATTTGTTATCATGTTCATAGCAAATGACTGATTTGTAAGGTTATTATACACACGTTTCTCTCTCTTCAGATTCTGCTTACCTTTTGTATGGGAATGAAAGCAAATTTGGCTAAAAATCAAATGCATTGGAACTCTGTATTCTTTCCATAGTAGAAAAAGGCAAGATTTGCCTCGAATCAGACCTAATATTCTTAGAGCTCAAATTTCCAATGTAATTTGAAGCAGGATTTAACAGGACATCATTCAGCAATTGTCATAATCATTTCATTAAAAATGAAGTCTTCATCACAAGGTTCGAAATCCATACAGATTTTAGAACGAAACGCAACTAGTGATTTAGGTCTATAGTATTCTTAACAAAGGGGAAAATTTTCGATTACAGCAGGTTCAATATTATCCTCGATCATCAGATTCGGTTTACAAAATGAATATGATCGACCTTAAAAGTTAACAACGTACCGGTAAGAGACTGAAAGCAATGAAGATCAAATGTGTCCGCTTCCAGGAGTTCGATACCGAAGCATCCGGAAATTGGGGACAATTGCTGGGAGATGGCGTGCATCGAGTGCCACAAACTTGCTAATCTCAAGCTATCATTGGTATCCATTCTGCCTGCTAACCCATAATCCTATCGCATTTTTTGTTCATTAGAAAACCCCAAAAGTGGAAAATGATCAGAACTGGATTTGGAATTTTAGGTATTTACCTTGTAGAAGATGAGACCTCCTGATTTGTTGATGATATAAAGACTATAAATTGCAGCCATACTTTTCTGTAGCAGATTGAGCAAAACTTCACAGATCCAGGCTCAGGCTCAGTAGGAGACTCGCTTTTTGTAGAGCATACAAAATTCGGGTGCAAGAGCGTATTGATCAAATTTCAGGTTCGAACAACGGAGAGAATTGCCGTGCTCTATGTTGCAAGTTGTAGTGTTGCACTGACCTTCCTTTTGTTTTGGGTAATTTACGCTATTGGTCCTTTATTTTATTATTATTATTTTTTAAGTCGGAAATCTCTATAATACGTTTAATGTTGTGTCTTTACTCTCTAACTAAATTCAAATAACTATATTATGAACAAGAGTTGTTAAAACAACTATAAACAATATTTATTTTTGTTAAAAAGAATTTTAACCCAAAAAATTAATCTAAAATTAAAACCAATTTCAAAATAAATTTGCCAATCACATCACACATACAAAAATAATGACAGCAAAACATAGTGAATTGTTTGGGCCCGAACCTAAACTCAACTTGAAAGCCAGAAGATTTTGATTGGTTAAAGCTAGGCAATATAATTAATTTTGAAGCCTAAAAGTCAACAAAAATGAAGGAGCCATGAGCTAAGCTATATAACTAATTTTAAAGCCATGGGCAATTGTATTTTTGGGCTTGCCTGTGTTCGGTCGGTGAGGCTTGGGTTGGTCGATGAAGGAGCCATAAGCTATCGAGGCTACTAAGCCTGCTATGCATAGTTCCAAGCCCACAAAGGTAGTTGTTGGGCTCCTTGTTGTTGGGATTCTTTGGTTTGCTAGGGTTGTCTTCTTACATTTTCCGTGCTATTTACATTACAATAACAAAAAATACATCAATCCTAATCTATTACAATAATTATATAGTCTCAAATTTGTTGAAACCATTACATTACATTTTAATAATAATCAACCATCACAACACCACAGAAGTTCAGGCAATGCACTAACAGTTCATACATTTACAAAAAAAACGTTTTTAATGGCTTGTTTTATAAAACTCAATAATGTAATTTTTTTTTATAAACATTAATACTAAAATAGTAAAAAACAAGCCATTAAAAGTATAATTATCCAAATAAAAAACAAGCCCTAAAAAAATGAGTGAACAATAAAGCAAACTAAAACTTTAACACGTAATCAACAAAGTTGTCTAATACTACTGTTGAAAATTGATAGATTCATAAAATCATTAATAATCCAATAAACTCATTGAAAAAAATAATAAAACTTTAATTCTGAAACATGGATCCAACTAGATCATGCTTAATTAACCAAATACTTTCATAGGGTGTTTAGATCCTTTGAGATAGAAACCGAAGATTTTGATATTCTCTATTTTCAGAATCGAAAAAAAAACTTTTCTTTATGTCTTCAAAATCATATTGTCTTTGTTGCAGAAAGTCTCAGTTTAATAAAACTATTTGAGATAACAAATGACGTTTCAAAATACTAAAACACTAAGGATGTCATAATCAATACACAACACAGGTTACAACGTAAAGAGATATTGGTCCTGAATACTATTACACATTGTCTCTTATTCAATCATCAAGTTCCAACAGTTTTAGTATCGTTACCTATGATGCATATAATTTGAGTGAGTCAGGTTTTGGAACCTGGTGAGACACATACGGTTTTCAATCCCACAATATTTTAATGATAATAAATCTTATATAACAATCCTACATAACAAACATTACCAAACAATATAGATATATCATACGACTTATATATCTATAAGACAATGTCACCATAGTTATCCAACCCATCGATGCTCACATCCTGATCCTATAACAATGATCATTTGAGATCTAACCTGACCGGTCACTCTAAGCAACGAGTATACTATAATGCTTTGGGGATTCCTTGGCAAGTGTAAGTCAATAAAGGCAACCATGTTTGGGGGGGGGGGTAACAAATGGTAAAAATAGATCAACGTTCGTTGGTCAAACCACCGCGAACCCCATTGGAATAAGACATATTGTGTAGTTTTCCTTGTTTTTGAATGCAATTGAAGTCATTACACTTAGAATTGCAAACGGAATACCCTAATTGTCTCAAAAAGCTGATGATCATAGACAAACGAAGAACTATTCACAAAAATAAGTGTTATTAATACATGAAAATAAAAATTTGTGTTTTAAGTATACTTAGGAGCAATTGACAATATAATTGGATAATATTTGTTAACACGACTTCATGCATATAAAGATCGTCGAAAACGGAGATCATATGCAAAAGCTACGCTCTTTTTAAGAAAATAAATCAGTTGTATAATTGATTTTTCCTGAAAAAAATACCGAATTGATTCGTTAGGATAGCTACTAGATTCGTTGAGCGTTTTTAATCACATTTTTTAACTTAGACTATTCCAAAATATTTGATTTCATTATCAGAATATTTTTCACTCAGAGTTATGTCACTTTTGCGAAAAACGTCAATCATGAAAGTTATAAAATATAACTAAGCTGTAACTTCGAACACGTTCTAAACATAGTATCGTCTTTCGCTTGAAATTTTTGATTGCATATTCAGAATCAGCACGTTTAGGAATATCGACATGCATGTTCGGAAAATTTTCTAAATGTTGGATTATGGGACACGCACTTCGAGGTGACACATGTCGGAAGGTGTGATATAATCTTGATGACATCACCATTTTACTATAAATATGAGAGAAAATCAACTAAAAAATGTGACATCCTCTAATTTTCAAAACCAAAAAGAACTTTCTTTACGCTTTAAAAATCATGATACTTCATTTGCGGGAAATCTCAATATATTAAAATCTTTTTAGTACAAGATTGCCTCAAATAAAATCCTAAGGATGTCATAATCAATACATATATATAAGTTACAGCATAAAGACCTAACGGTTCTGAACAACCATTGCAGGATTTCTCTTAATCAATCAACATTCTAATCAAGTTCTCGGAGCTTAAGTCTTGATACATGCGATACATACAAACTGAGCGGGTCAGGTTGGGAAACATGGTGAGATACATAGGGATTTCAATCCCAGAATATGTTTGTGTGTGTGTGTGTGTATATATATATATATATATATATATATATATATATATATATATATCAATCTTGCAAAACCAACTGTTACCAAACAATATATAGATATATTTCCGATTTGGATATCTATAAAACCTCATACCTATACATACCCATCCCAATCGATCCTCACAGATCCTAGTCCACGATTATCGGGAAGATAAATCGTTTTAAAGCAGGGGTTTCACTACACTGCTAGGGGCCTCCTTGGCTGGTGAAAGTCATGAAGGCACTCGAGCCATCAGAGTATTTTGATGAATATGGAATCCCATTTCATCTACGTCTGTAGGTTATGACCCCACACTAGCAACGTAATTTACAAGACCGTCTAGAATGATCAATTGTTGTCATCTTACTCTGGGAGATGACTAGACATACCATTATAGTTGCCTCATCCGGACCCACCATTTTTGGTCATCCAAAAGGAATACTATTTGTACTCCAGTACGTATTTTGTACCATCAACACCTGAAAGTATCATAGAACAAAACTCTATTCTCCATTCCTAACTTACACACATTCTCTAAATGAGACTACCCAATATCAATCTTAATTGAACTAGGCATCCATAATAAGTCTTATCTCATTAACAGGCAAAACTATTAGGCTTCCAATATCAACTCTGTTCAGGTAACACTATCCTAATTCAATGCATATATTTAACATAGAGTATTTACGTATTAATATATTTTTATTTCTCTCTCTCTCTCTCTCTCTCTCTCTCTCTCTCTCTCTCTCTCTCTCTCTCTCTCTCTCTCTCTCTCTCTCTCTCTCTCTCTCTCTCTCTCTCTCTCTCTCTCTCTCTCTCTCGCTCTCTCTAATAATACTTCTATTATTATCATATCGTAATAATAGATATATATCTCTTAACACATATAAAACCATATATGGTTTGCATATCGTATATCATCAAATAAATTTCTAACAAATAATCCAGACAATAAGCATATAGCTTACACATAAACTTTTCGACAGATATTTAATACTTTAGTTAATACTTGTATTAAAATCATGTTCATAAAAAGTGCTATACACTCACTTGACTTAGGTAGATTGACTGGTGATTTGGGCAGAGTTTCGCCTAACACCTTAGCTTTTCCTTTAACGTGACCTAAGTATGATTAATAGTGAGTCTTAGTTTAATGTTCATGGCAACTAATGATAGTCTAGATTCCTCACTAATCCCAATGTCTACATCAAGATCTATCAAGTAAGGAATAACCATGTAGGATCATATCGGAGGTAGGGTTCGTTTGGTATACAGAGTATACTTTTTGGAAATCCTACTTTAAACACCTCACTAAATCCAACCTAGACATCACTCTCGTAAGTAGATCAACTAGTAAAATGACTTGGAATCACTAATAAATCTTATTTATAGGTTCATAATAATGACTATGAACATAAATATAAGTTGCACTTGAAATAAAATAAGTGTACCTTAACTTACATAAATTTTAGCGAAAATCGAGAAATTGTGCGGACAGAACCCTGACCCGAGAGCTTCTACTAGTTGAGTCTAGATGACCAAATCTTCGCTAAACTAAAATATTGCAAAATCCCGAAGAAAAGACCTCAAAGCCGGTCTAAATATTTGAGAGAGAGTTCAGGGAATTGTGTGAGGGAGAGTGTGATGGGATCTGCTATTTATACCTGAAAAATAGGCTAGGCGTATCGTGCCCTTCAGAAATGTTGATCTGTTCGCTTGGTGCCACATGTCATGAAGATAGTGGTCCATGTTGCCTGCTTCTAGAAGCGTGCGCCGCACCTTTAGCTGCGCGCGACGTCGACATAAAAAATTCAAAAATCCGTATCTTTCTCATACAAAATATGTTTTTGATGTTCTTTGTATCCATGTGTAGCTATCGATGAAATCTATAAATTTAGTTTAGACTCTGTCGGCTAATTCTCTCTTTATTTTTAAAGTTATATTTTTACCAGACTTAGATAGGGATGAGCAAAAGGACCGAACCGGCCAGACCCGGACCCGAACCGGGAACCGACTTCGGCCAAAATCAAGAACCGAACCGGCCCGGCGGTTCTACCGGTTCCGAGTCCGGTTTTTGCCGGTTTTTCGATTTCGGAACCGGTCT